CCCTTTTCCCGGGATTCCTGTCCCTTTTCCCGGGATTCCTGTCCCTTTTCCCGGGATTCCTGTCCCTTTTCCTGGGATTCCTGTCCCCTTTTCCCGGGATTCCTGTCCCTTTTCCTGGGATTCCTGTCCCTTTTCTGGGATTCCTGTCCCTTTTCCCGGGATTCCTGTCCCTTTTCCTGGGATTCCCTCCAGCAGGAAGGAAGAGTTGGAGGTGCTGGAGGCACTTCCCAAAGTGTCCCCTGGCAGGAATTGTCCCCCCATGGGTCACCCCGTGTCCCCCTCCTTCCTGAGGGGCCGGCCTGGGGGTGACAGTGACCCTGGGTGACAGTGACAGTGACCCTGGGCTGAGTGTGACAGTGACCTTGGGTTTTGTGCGACAGTGACAGTGACCCTGTCTCTCTTTGGGTGACAGTGACCATGTCCCCGTGTGTCCCTGTCCCTTTCAGTGTCCCTGGCTGTCCCTGACCGTGTCCCTGTGTCTCTGGGTGACAGTGACGGTGTCCCCGTGTCACTCTGGGTGACAGTGACGGTGTCCCTGTGTGTCCCTTTCAGTGTCCCCATGTGTCCCTGTCCCTGACGGTGTCCCCGTGTGTCCCTGACAGTGTGCCCGTGTGTGTCTGGGTGACAGTGACGGTGTCCCCGTGTCACTCTGGGTGACAGTGACGGTGTCCCTGTGTGTCCCTTTCAGTGTCCCCATGTGTCCCTGTCCCTGACGGTGTCCCCGTGTGTCCCTGACAGTGTGCCCGTGTCTCTCTGGGTGACAGTGACGGTGTCCCCATGTGTCCCTGACGCTGTCCCCATGTGTCCCTGTCCCTGACGCTGTCCCCGTGTGTCCCCACAGACGCCTTTCCCCGGATGGTGCCCCTGCGGCCCCCGGAGGCCCCGGGCCAGCCGCCCCCTCCCCACCTGCAGTGTCCCCTGGCCCGGCCCGACCCCAGCAGCTTCGCCGCCAGCCTCCGGGAGCTGGAGAAGGTACCGGCATCCGGGCGGGAAAATCCGGGAATCCGGGGTTGGGATTCGGGAATCCGGCCCCTTGGGCACGGGGATTTGGGAACCTGGCTCCTCAGGGTTTGGGATTTGGGAACCTGGCTCCTCAGGGTTTGGGATTTGGGAATCCAGACCCTCAGGACGTGGGAACCTGGCTCCTCAGGGTTTGGGAATTGGAAATCCAGACCCTCAGGACTTGGGAATCTGGTCCCTCAGGGCTTGGGATTTGGGAATCCAGACCCTCAGGATTTGGGAATCTGGCCCCTCCAGGATCGGGATTTGGGAATCCTGCCCTTCTGGGATTCCCCACAGGAATTCCCAAGGGAATTCCCAAGTGAATCACCATTCCCAAGGGAATTCCCAAGGGAATCACCATTCCCAAGGGAATTCCCAAGGGAATCACCATTCCCAAGGGAATTCCCAAGGGAATCGCCAGGAAATCGCTGTTCCCTCGGGAATCACCCATTCCCAAGGGAATTCCCTGGGGATCCGCCGTTCCCAGCTGCCTCTCCCCGTTCCCAGTGCGGCTGGTACTGGGGCCCCATGAACTGGGAGGACGCGGAGATGAAGCTGAAGGGAAAACCCGACGGATCCTTCCTGGTGCGCGACAGCTCCGACCCGCGCTACATCCTGAGCCTGAGCTTCCGCTCGCAGGGCATCACCCACCACACCCGCATGGAGCACTACCGAGGTGAGGAACACGGGATGGCATTCCCGGAGCCGGGATGGCATTCCCGGATC